CATGAAATTATAACTTCGACTAAAAAAGCTTCTCTTGCTAATGTAGGTACCCTTCTCCTCTCTCAACGAAACCTGTTTTAGAACAAATCGCATATTTATTCAGATCCGTAGAACGCATAACTTAACATGATATGTACTCAACGTTCATAGACTGATTAGTGAGATCCAGTAATGAAAGCCGAAGATAAATTTTAAATAGAACTAAATAAAAATTACTAGTAGAGATCCAACACGGCTAGGTTCTTCGGCCTTTGTTCAGCGGCATCTGAAAGTTGAGCGGTTGTTGGCATATCATGTAAGTTTATCTCAGTTAGTGTGCAGCTTAGTCTAGTCTACATAAGTGAGCTCTCAAAGACGTTGGTGATGTCTATCCTACTCTATATACACACTCTCGGGCACCTCGAATGGATCTGCAGAGAACTCGTCCGTGTAGTCGATGATAGGTTGCGATCGTCGTTGTCGGTATCGTGGAATCACCAAGAGTACATCGTCCTAAATTCACTAACTTTTAAGGCTTCCATATGGAGTATAAGCAGCATACTGAGGTTTGATGAGATTTTTTTTTCATTATAATATGCTCACAGTAATGCTCACTCTCACTCTCCCGAGCACTGGATTTGTGAAAGCACTCTGAATACATCACATTACGCGCGACTTAGGCGAAATTAAATGAGCATTGGAGCCCGATATAGATGTCATCAATTGCAGAAATGTTACTCCTCATTGTTCTCGAATTCACACGTTATCTACCTTTTATAGCATTTATAGAGATGTCCAATGTCACTAATTCCTCCAACCCCTTCGTTTGAGGCAATCACAACCAGATACGAGAATCTTGTCACGCCGGCGCCGCAAGCAATCAATGGTGCCGATTTAATTGACATTTAAGAATGACTTAGCCCTTTTTAAGCATCGGCAGCTGTAACCAGAGAAATTCTGAAACGGAGCCCCTTTGATTTTGAAAAAATTTTATGGAGTCCCCTTTGACCTTTTTCGTCCCCTCCCCTCACATAACAAGAAAGAAGGGTAATCAACATCGAACTTGGTTTGCTTAGAGATGCGCTTTGCGATTGAAAGAGATTGCGCCGAGAATGACAATTTTTGAGAGCTTTATATAGCGTTAAATAAGGTTATGAAACCTTTTTTGCCTGTGTGAAAGCTTCTACAGTGAAGGGGCAGTGATGTGAGTGATTATGTAAATTATGTGAGCGAAGGGGTTAGTTCCAGCTCTGCTGGAACGGTTCTACTCGGGAGAAGTTGAGCACGGCTTTCATTCACACGTTTTCGTAAATTTTGAGCCATAGTTCGAGTCCCCTCACGCGCATGCTCACATTAAATTTGGTGTCATGCCTTTGTTTTTTGATTGTAAACAACGCTTTTTTGTTTGGGGTAGAGCATGCCGAAGCAAACAGGCGCTATACTTGTGCCTCGTCCCCGCCATGGTCCGCAAAAATGATAGCCACTTTGTTTTTCTCCCCATTAACGATATCCACCTTAACCTCATTTCACTTGCGCCAAGCCCTGGCCCTTTCCATTGCCTTTCAACCCCTCCCCTCCCCTTCACGCCCGTATAGATAGAGGATAGAGGTCCTACCAAGTAAATATTTTCCATGAATTGCATACACTATGTAATCACTCACTTTTTATTCTTCTTCTACTTGCCCCTTGCTTCAGACCTCACAAAAGTTCAGTTTCCTATAGAGAATAACTCACACTGTCATCAAACTGTGGTATTCGTCTAAACATTGCAGGATACACTCGAGCGACCCGGAACGGCACAGCCATACATGCAGCGGCCAATATTGCTGCTATTAACATTGTATACAGTCGCATCTGAAAATCTATCGTATCATTAATAAACAGCTACTGAGCAGCATCCAAAAGTTCAAAAAACGTGCGAGCGAAATTTCGGATTAACAATAAGAAAATGAGAGCTATATATGTCAACATAAGGATTTTGAAGGGGTTGTTACATTAGGAAGCACATCACATCATGCTGTATAGCTCAGATGACGGCAGCGATTGTGCTCAGCAGGCTTGGAATAGATTGCGAGCGGTGAGAAGATGCTAAATCCGGATATACGGCTTCAAAGCGCTAATTTTCGAGAAGGTCACTGCTTGAAATCTGTTAGGGAACTTAGCAATGATTATGAGTGGGCCGTGGACTACTGCTGCGATTAGGAGAACTTTT